ACTTCATAAGCACATCTGTCATTTTTTTCAAGCTTATGCACATAATAGGAGAAAAAATAACTGTAATGTCACTTTATTTGGTGATATGAATGTGACTTATCTGTGCTGCTGATTATCCATGCTGCTGATCTCATGCTGCTGTATTCATTCATAACCATCTGCTCACCACAAACTCATGTTCGGGCTGCTGTTGTTTGCCATATTGTTTTGCGTTATTAGTATTTAGCATATATCTTAGATCCTTTATACTGTTTCTTCTTTAGACTTTATGTTTTTGCTATTGTTGGATGTAACTGGGACCCTGTGTAGATAATTTCGTTCAACCTCATGTACAACATGTGATGAGAATGACAATAAATATATGGTACTTGACGTGACTTGACTTGATGATAAATACACAGAAATAGATTTAAGTCAATTGCACTGAACTTTTAGGTCTAACTCATTTTTAGGAGAAAAAGTCTGCAGTTGGGTCTGAAGTTTTCAGAAAAGTTCATTCTTGAAAATACAAACCAAACATAATGACACCATGAATTGCAAGAAATACTGATGTTTCCTCCCGTTTTAAATAATTAGCACACACCATTACCCATCCCATGACTAACTTTACATATTTTACACATTTGTGGCATGCAGCTTTAGAAACGAGGACATTCTTGCCTTCATGTTGGGGTTTACACGAGAAAATGCTGCAGAAATGTCAACCTCAGACATGACATTTCTTTATGATTTGTCATTGGTGGATTAAAAAAAAAAGTTTGTTTTTGCTGTTAGATCAGTTAACCACAAGAGGGCAGTGTAACTCTTCAGAAATATATTCTATTCATGGCAAAGCAAAGGCCATTAGGAATTATACACAAATCATGTTCCTTCATACATATATTTTATTACAGCAAGTTGTTTGCAGGGCACACTTACTGGGCGCAAGTCAAAGAAGTGAAATCCCACCATGAGACCATCTGACCAGTTCTACTGTGGTATCAGCTCAGGCAGATGGTTTAGTGACTGCTGTGGAGAAAACCTGCATCCATTACTTGCAGGTTGTGCCGCTCAGCCTCAGCACGTAAGACCAACAGCAGCCTAGGAGCTATTCAGGCAAAACTCATATCCCATTCGTTGGGCTGGTTATAAATAGCTCAGAGTGAGCAGGCTTGGGATCAGGACAGTTCAAAAATAAGTAGAGAGCATTTCAGAAAGGCTCATTTGCAAAAGAAACAGAAACTTTTCAGTTTTGCAGCTTAAATGACCAGCTTGACTCTAGACTTTCTTTATGAACAAAAGTACTCATTAAACATAAAAGTTTGCCTTTCCTGTCCATTGTACATATTTCTCTTTAGATGTGGAGTTGTCGTGCTGTGATGCCAGGCAGTGAGCACCGACCCAGTGTTAGGTGAGCAGGAACTAAGTACCTGTCATTCTCCTGCTCTGTATATTTACCCAGCGGGGTGCGTGCAAGCACCAGACACACTTTTAAAATGAGCTTCTTTATACAAGACTTTATGGCAAATTACAATAATGTCTGAAACGGATTTAGACACCTAAAGGAATTACAGTTTCATTAGAACTTTTCTGCATATTGTCATTGCTACAGTCAATATCAAGTGATACAGCAGAAAAAGTTGCACCCTGCTTGCTCAGAATTGCACTTTCTTACTCATGCTTAAGTGTCGCCACAGAAAAAGTCATTATGACTTGATTGAATAGTCCAAAATCCCCCTCAGAGGCATCTTCTCCCAATATAGATGGCAGGTGGCAACGTTACCAAACTGGCAAAAAGACGATAATAAATATATTACTATTCCATTGGCAGGCGGGATTAGCCTTCTGTTCAGTTTATGTGCCTTTTGTGTCTAATGGAAAATGACACTCACCGAGCTGAGAGATGTGTAAATAAAAATTGTACGTAACGAGGCTTTGTCTCATAAAGTGACTATTTCTCAGGAATATATGTTTAGGATGAAAACCTGCATATATGAGCTCAAACGACCAGTTGCGAGGAAAAAAACACGCCATCCCCACCGTTTGTCCAATAATTTAATCACCAAAAGAAGCTGGTATTGATGAGAACAGACAGCTCTTTTTTCATTCATTTAGCACATTTGTGTTCCCTTTGTTTTGTTGTGAAAATTGTTTGGAGCTTCTTTGAACTGTTCGGTCTGTTTCCAATTTAAAGCTGGAACCGTCCTCATTAATCAGGTGCTGCTTGAATAGATTAACCTGGTTGAGAAGATGTATTCTCAAATGAAAAGTGGGATTGCATTCATGGCTAATCTACTGGAAATGACACTCCTGATAAACAGGAGTTAATGCTTATTTTGTCTTCGTCGGCTTCTCTCTAAAGATACATTGAGGAAAGGCTGCGATGAATGGATGGATCTGTTCTGAGCTAAATGAGACTTGAGACAGGTTTTCAGGCTCAAAGTGACACTAAAAACAGCAACACAACTTGTAACTCAGGACTGGATCATGTTTGGACCGAGTCATTCAGACTCAAAATGTCAGACAGTCGTGGTTCATCTCTGATCCAACCACTGGGTCAAATTTATTAACCCAATATTTGGTCAAACCAGCCCAGTCTGTGACTCAACAGCTGTTGATTTAATAAAATAGTAATATAATATTAATACAGATCAGCATTTTGAGAGTAATATAGCTCTTCTGTGACAAGTTCATATAGATGGAAGTGAATCTGAATCTAAGTCACAATATTTTTACAAGTACAGTGGTGCTTGGACGCTTCTGAAGCCTTTATAATTTTCTATATTTCTGCATAAATACGACTTAAAGCATCATCGGATTTTCACACAAGTCCTAAAAGTAGATAGAGAAAACCCGGTTTAAAAAATGAGACAAAAATATTATACTTGATCGTGTATTTATTGAGGAAAATGATCCAATATTACATATGTGTGAGTAGTAAAAGTAGTGAACCTGCAGGATTAACAGTTAATTTGAAGGTGAATTTAGAGTCCGGTGTTTTCAATCAATGGGATGATGATCAGGTATGAGTGGGCACCCTGTTTGATCTAAAGAACAGAATCTATCAAAGTCTGCTCTTCACAACATGTTTGAAGTGTATCATGGCAGCAACAAAGGAGATTCCTGAGGACCTCAGAAAAAGTGTTGTTGATGCTCATCAGGCTGGAAAAGGTTATTAAACCATCTCTAAAGAGTTACAGTGAGACAAACTGTGTACAAATGGAGGAAATTCAAGACCATTGTTGAGTGGTGGACCAACAAATATCACTCCAAGAGTAAGGCATGCAGTCAACGAGGTCACCAAGGACCCCAGGGTAACGTCTAAGCTACACAAAGTCACTGTTCTCAAAAATAACATTGCTGCTCGTCTGCAGTTTCCTAAAGATCACGAGGACGAGTTGGAAGAATGTTTTGAGGATGGTTGAGAGCAAAATAAAACTTTTTGGTTTAAATGAAAAGCGTTATGTTTGGAGAAAGGAAAACTCTGCATTCCTGCATAAGAACTTATCCCATCTGTGAAACATGGGGGTGGTAGTATCATGGTTTGGGTCTGTTTTGCCACATCTAGACTAGGACGGCTTGCCATCATTGATGGAACAATGAATTCTGAATTATATCAGAATTCTAAAGGAAAATGCCAGAACATCTGTCCATGAACTGAATCTCAAGAGAAGGTGGGTCATGCAGTGACACAATGACCCTAAACACACAAGTTGTTCTACCAAAGAACGGTTCAAGAAGAATAAAGTTCATGGTTTGGAATGGCCAAGTCAAAGTCCTGACCTTAATCCAATCCAGATGTTGTGGAAGGACCTGAAGCAGCAGTTAATGTGAGGAAACCACCAACATCCAGAGTTGAAGCTGTTCTGTTTGGAGGAATGGGCTAAAATTCCTCCAAGCTGGTGTGCAGGACTGATCAGCAGTTACTGGAAATGTTCAGCTGCAGTTATTTCTGTGCGGGGGGTGGGGGGGGGGGGTGTCACACCAGATACTGAAAGCAAAGGTTCACATACTTTTACCACTCACAAATATATAATATTGGATCATTTTCCTCAATAAATAAATAAATGACCGAGTATAATATTTTTGTCTCATTTGGTTAACTGGGTTCACTTTAGCTATTTTTAGGTCTTGTGTGAAAATCTGACGATGTTTTAGGTCAAATTAATGCAGAAATATAGAAAATTATAAAGGCTTCACAAACTTTCAAGCACCAGTGACCATTCTGAAAGAGATTTTTTTCTTCTTTTTGTTAAAGAATTGTGCAAAAACATAAGTAACACAGCAGATATGCAACACATAAAGCGTCAATTCTTAAAAAGTGACTATGGTTATGTTCTCTTGTTATAATCCCACAAGTTGAGACAATAATTTAACCCAAGCAGGGCAAGTTATGTGTGTGTGCTTTTTCTTACGATCATTCCTGAGCAAAGTGCACCATCAGTTCTCTCCTCCAATCCCTGCCATTGTCTCAGTGTCAGCAAAATTCTGAATACTGCCCCACCAATCAGATGCACATTGACAAGTGAAGGCTGCAGTCGTGCTGCATTTCATGCATGTTTCATGAAAAATAACTGGACATGTGCACATCCATCCCTGCAGGAGGGAATGCATTATTTTCATAATGTGTTTCCCAAACCAGAGGATGTTTGCAGCTTTCACTGCTGCAGCTCAGACAATCAACTTTGGGACGGATGTTGAGAAAATGACTTTCTCTGCTGCTCAGAGATGGATGAACCTGCAGCTGACAGTGACAGTAACTGATATCAAGCTGCTCCCTAATGGCCACCCTTTAAAAACCAATTAGCAGAGTTAGTAATTTGCAATGGCACAATTTGAATAAATCATATTTGCAAGAATAAAAGATTTGTGCAGTATTTTTTTTCTTCCAAGCACTGCTGATAAGTTGTATTTCCCCCTCTCCTTACATGCACACAAACGTCTCTAAATGTGGTTTCTTGCAACAACAACAACAACAAAAATAAAATCATCACTGATCTATTGTCGCATCTTCCACTCACTTCTGTGACTTGAGTATCCGGGGTTGTAGCCGTAGTAGCCTGTGATCCTCAGAATCCGGTCCTCTATGTCGCACAGCCCGTTGGCTGACACTGTGGGGGGGCTCTCGGTGAGGACCCGGGTCGGCGTGGCCCTCCCCGGCAGGTGCGCGCTGCTCAGCGGCTCCAGCTGGATGCTCTCCGGAGCGTCTTCTGGGCTCAGCATGGCGCAGGTCCGAGCGGAAAGAGGCGAGAGGGCGCGCGCAGATCAGCATCAACAGATATCAGCAGGAGGAGGAGGAAGAGGAGGACACTCAAACACATTCACATTCCTTCAGAGATGCTCCAGGACGCGGAGCAAGGTTACCAAACCCAGGTGGTCTGACGGACCTGAACCACCAGGGGGCGTGTTACTACTATCACATGATGCCAGTCTGGTTGGAAAATATTCTCTCTTTTGTTTGCGTGTGTGGCATTGTGCAATAATCATGTAATCATCATCATAATCATGCACAACACATACTACATTGTGAGGACCCATTGCTTCATGGGGCCCAAAGCAGGCCCCTAGAGAAGCAGTGTCGTTTTGGGGTTAGGGGTTAGGTTTGTAAGGGTCAGGGTACCCAAAAGAAAAATGAATGGAAGTCAATGCAAAGTCCCAGTAAGGACAGCAAAATTATTAACATGATCAGTTTAACATCCTGGTTTTATATCAGCTTATCCATCTTAACTATTACTCTG